ATAAATTTAGTCTATCGTGGACCGTGGTGGGGGGAATCATATTCGCTGTCGCAACGACCGTAGGCAGCAGCACAATACAGACAAAAATATTCAATTAAATTGATATTTTTACATAAAAACTGGTTCGCGCGGGAAAGAACCGAGAAGGCTACTGTCATAACTAAGAAACAAAATTCTCACCACAGAAAAAGGAGAACTTTGGCTGTGCAACGTTGGTTTTACTTTTTCGATATTACAAATACAAAAAGAGTAATTATAGTTTCAAAATTCACTATTTTGGTGTTTTTCAAACTTGAATAACTTTTTGTTAAGTTCTGATATCGAAAAAGTAAAACCAACGTTGCACAGGCAAAGTTCTCCTCTTTCTGTGATAAAAATTTTGTTGCTTAGCTTGGACTACAGCTCGGGTGGTTCTTTCCCGCGTGAAACGGTTTTTACAAACATTTTGTGGGCAGTATCACGTCCTCTTAAGGGTTTGCCTATTAAAAAATGTGCTGGCGTCAGAACGTCAAGTGACTCAACATCGTCATACATTGGTGCCAAAAGTCGCGAATTGAGAACTGCCTCAATCTGGCACAGGATTGTTGATAATTCTTCAAATGACATGATTGTTTCCCCAACAACTCGTTTAAGATGGTGTTTTGCCGATTTTATTCCTGCTTCCCATAATCCTCCCATATGTGGTGGAATGAATTTCCACGTCAACTGTTGGTCAGTTGCATATTCCAGTATTTCCTTTTGGATGCGATTGTCATTCAGAAACGCCTTCAGTACGTTGGCAGTTCCTACGAAATTCCGACCGTTATCAGAGTTAATTTCTGATGGACATCTTCGTCTACTGACGAATCGTTTTACTGCAGATATAAAAGCCTCGGTAGTCAAATCTGATACCAATTCAATGTGTATCGCCTTTGATACAAAACATATGAATAATGCGATGTAGCTTTTCGTTGTTTTCTTCGAGCGAGGTGGGCCTATTCTTGTAGTAAATGGACCGGCATAGTCAACTCCACATGTTGAAAATGGAGCCGCTACTGTTACGCGTGATTCGGGAAGTGATCCCATTAGTTGCTTCGATCGACTGGCCTTCCAACGATAACATTTCAAACATCGCCAAATTATTTTTGATGCAGCTCTTTTTACACCTATAATCCAAAACCGTTGCCGTAGAGTAGCTATCAATTGAGTTGGTCCTGCATGGAGAAGTCGATGGTGAGTATCTTCAATTATCAGATTGCTAAGACTATTGTTTCCCGGTAGTATTAACGGATGCTTGCTATCATACGGTTGACTGGACTGTTGCAGTCTTCCTCCTACTCTTAACAAGTTATTTGCATCTAAGAATGGATGGAGTTGGACTAAAACACTCTTGCCAACTATTCGGTTGTGCGTGGTTAGACTGTTACATTCTGCCTTATAAGCATGTTGTTGTGTTAGTAATATCAGTCTCTTCAATGCAAAATCTCGTTCTCCTGGAGTTAAGGCTTCATGTGGTATCACTGAACATAGTGTACTCGTTCTGGTTCCCCTTTTACCCAAACGTAGTAAACGCGCGGTAACATTGATTAGCGTCCTCAACTTTGAAAACTGTGATATCAGTCGCTCAATAAATTCAATACTGGTTTCCATGGATGACGTAGAAACAGTTAATGTTAATACCACTTTCTTTCTTTCTAATATAGTCTCATCATCAGGCAGTTTGCTTGGTATAACTGGCCATTCTGATGAGTCCTTGGTGATCCATGAAGGTCCTTGCCACCACAATTTACACTTCACTAATTCTTCCGTGGTTTTCCCACGAGATATCATGTCTGCGGGGTTATCCTCACTTCTCAGATGACACCACCGTGTATCGGTTGATAGTTCATGAATTATTGCTACATGGTTGTTAACATATGTTTCCATCGATTCAATTTCGAACTACTTGTGATCCAAGTTCTGACTATTTGAAAATCGGTCCACAGTGTTGATGATTGTACCTTCAGCACTCGCTGTAATGCTTGTTTAGTGGCTGCTAGTAATTTTGAACCAAGGACAGCTGCATTTAGTTCTAAGCGTGGTATAGTGAGGTTTTTCACTGGTGCTACTCGTGATCTGGCTGTCAGTAGTTCGCACTTAACGGAACCATTTGAATCTGAGCATCTGACGTAAAGACAAGCACCATAAGCGTTTTCCGATGCGTCACAGAATACATGCAATTGGACATTCGTTGCATCGTTCTGCATTACCCATCGAGGAATGTGTAACTTACGCAGCAATAATAATCATTCATTTTTTAAATTTTGACAAAATAACTATACCTAATCGTTAATCGTTATTCACGCAGGTTACTAAATATTATGTAATTTCGTCCAAATTAGAAAATAAAATAACTATAAACAAAACTGTCATTTTATATTTTGAAATTTTTTGGTTATAGAATAACCTAGTAACGCGGAACCTATTTTAAAATTTTCAATCCTTTACTATAAAAGTTGCAAATAAAATTTTAGAGACAAATAGAAAAAAAACACAAAAATTGAAAATTGAAAATGTCCGTAAAGGGGCAAAATATTTTGAAAATGTTATCATGTAAGAAATTGTTTTCAATAAACTTATGGCGTAAATTTCAAGTATTTACAGTTATTTGTTTTTGAATTAAAGCAAAATAAGAAAAACCATACCTGAGAAATAGAGTACCTAAATAATAAAATATATCCAATGTAGTGAACATTTGAACTTCTAACACTTATAAACTTACCGGTAAACATTTTTTATTTGATAAAGGTAGACAAATTTATGAGAAACCTTGTATTCAATTTTAAAATCTTATATTTTAAATTAAATTTTTTTATGAATTACTAACTCAAAAAAATATGCAAATTTTCCTGATTTTAATTTTGTCAAATTTTGAATCGTGACTGTATTTTTAATATTCATATTTTTAAACTGTCATTGTAAAAATATATTAGAAGCATCGTATACAAATTTCAAGCTTTTAGAAGCAACGAATAAAATTTAATTGACATATAATATATATACAGGGTGTTCCAAATTTCATGTGACAGCAGATTTCAGTATGATCTACTCAAATTAGGAAAAAATGACATAATAGTGAAAATTTATTTGAATCGCATACTCTAAACTAATTTGATATTAATTTTTTTTTTTATTAGTTAAAAGGGGGAGATTTTAGGGGTAACTTTTAAAATTCAAATGGGAATCTATATTTTTGAAATATGATTCATATAGGATTTTTTTTTAATGAATTTTGACGTATCATTCATAATTATTGGTTGATAATTAAAKAARCTATTTACATTCGAATTTTGTATTTAATTTGTAAAAATGCCATCAATGAATAATAATAAYAATATACTTTGTGCTTCTGTTATACACCGATGCATTCCCAGACAGCAATTCCATAATTTTGATGTTTTCATAATGTTATATCTGAAATTATCTTGAAATATTTCATACATAAACTTAGATCATAGTTTTAAGAATATTTCATGAAAAATATTATATTATTAATGTTTAGATTAGTTTAAGAAAACGTTACTAAAATAACATTGAGTATTTAATTTATTATCAAAGTTCTGAAAACATTTTGATTTCAATATCAGTAAAACATTATAATTATATAATTATACCAATTTTATACTTATAATGTTATCAATTAAATTTATACTTAACATTTTAATAATGTTATTTGTAATAAGTTTAAAGAGAATTTTGGTTTTAATGTTTTACCAACTTAATTATTATCAATATTCAGAAAAAATACCTAATAATTTAAAATTTGTATGAATGTTGGTTTTTGAATTTTACTGAATTGAAATCCGCCTACATTAAAATTTTTGTTTTTATTAATATATATTTATTAGTATATAATAATATATGTATTAATATGTACAAGTGTAATACAATACTACACAATATAAGTTATAAGTTTATAACATACAACACACTACTGTAGAGTACTAGACTTCTAGAGTTATGACAACCGTTGAACCGTGGTGTGTAGAAGTTTTAGTATAATCAGTATTCTATTTCAGTATTTAATGAATTTTTTAATATTTAAAATAGGTTGAGGTAGGTACTTATATATACACTACGAGAGAATTTTTCGTACATAACTTCGTGACAACAGTAATAACTAATAATAAATTCTGAAATACTAAAATTCTAATTATTAAAAGAATGTTTTTAAATTATATCTATTACCTATATTTCATAATTTTAATGAAGTATCTACATTCAACTGTTATAGTGTTATACTACATAGTAAATATTTTAAAAGTTTAATAAATTACTATTACTTTTCAAATTTTGCAATACCTATATATTTTTATCGTATTAAAAATAATTGTTAATATAAATATTATTATAGKCTATACGTGTATTACGTACTTATAAATTATAAAAGATTATTTCATATTTTATACAAATAAGGTTTGTGCTACGAACGATCGATTTGTTGTTTTATGTAATATTTTTCATCTTCTATCATTAACATATTAAGTACTCGTACCTACAACTATTATATTAATTATAAAAAATTATATTATTTTTATTTATAACTACAGGAACAGCTATAGGTGGCAATAGTGAAATAATTATTTCATTGTTTTTTCATTTTATGTGGACACATTGACATTTGTCCTACACCTCCCTAAACTCTATTATAACCCTTTCTATAATCCCAGTCACCACTGTCAACACTCAACTACAAGTACTTATAGTGAGGTAGTGGAAGTCAACAAAAGTTGTAGGTACGTGTCATAATTTTTCTTTTCTATTACCCTCTTCCTCTGTAGATTTAGGCACGCATTAATCCGTGATTGTAAATAATATGTTCCTAAGAATACGTATTTTCATTTTTTGTATTTAATTATTAATTTACTATATAATTACAAATTGTATTCAAAAATCATTAAAATGATATTATATTAGGCATTGACAAAAGCTAAATTTAACAATTTTAAAATTTCTTATGAATGTATTAGTGAAAAATAATTTTTTTATGACCAACGAGAGTACGAGACTGGTTAGTTCAGTACTAATAGTACTATACTAGTATAGTAGTATACTAGGTATTATATTATATTGGAAATAAGAAAGCACCTATATTTTTTGTTACCTATAAAATATTACGATCTACGATCTTGCAATATTATATTATATTATTGTATACGTGTTGTAGTACAAGCGTGCAGCATATTGCATATTATCTAATCATTGCAGCGGTATTGAATATAATTATAAATAAATTATAACTGCACGGGTAAAAACGCGATTACACCGCGCACGATGCACAGCAGACTGTGTGTATGATAAACCCGGTGTTCTTATCGTGGCTGTTTATAAATACCGATAATGAAATCAATATAATATTATAGTTAATAATAGAAATATTAGGAATAAAACAATATTATTTGTACACTGTACCCTCATATTATCAACAATATTGTCAACAGTTTTACGGATTCGCAGATTTCGTCTACGCCGTCTACGCTATACAGATTACAGACATTCACTAGTATCCACTATTCGTTATTCGATCTTTATTCCGCAATCGCCATCCATGCCTTATATAAGCTGTTCTTATAACATTGTTTTATTCTCTCATCTCTATTTTTATTATAAGTTTGTTGTTGTCACTTGTCAGTCATCTATGTATACTAATCTATGGTCATCAATTTGTATTTTTTGACGTTTAATTTACAAGCGCAGTATTGGTAAAACGGTAAGTAAGAAATACTTAATAGTAATTAATTTAATAGTATTAAATATTACGAAGATTGTTTATTGGTGCCCGATCACAACTAACCTATATAATATAACTATGTACCTGAGTATGTATTAAGAGGACGTGATACTGCCCACAAAATGTTTGTAAAAACCGTTTCACGCGGGAAAGAACCACCCGAGCTGTAGTCCAAGCTAAGCAACAAAATTTTTATCACAGAAAGAGGAGAACTTTGCCTGTGCAACGTTGGTTTTACTTTTTCGATATCAGAACTTAACAAAAAGTTATTCAAGTTTGAAAAACACCAAAATAGTGAATTTTGAAACTATAATTACTCTTTTTGTATTTGTAATATCGAAAAAGTAAAACCAACGTTGCACAGCCAAAGTTCTCCTTTTTCTGTGGTGAGAATTTTGTTTCTTAGTTATGACAGTAGCCTTCTCGGTTCTTTCCCGCGCGAACCAGTTTTTATGTAAAAATATCAATTTAATTGAATATTTTTGTCTGTATTGTGCTGCTGCCTACGGTCGTTGCGACAGCGAATATGATTCCCCCCACCACGGTCCACGATAGACTAAATTTATATTTGTCCGTATTTGGGCAAGCGTCCCATGCTATCGTTATCGGTAATTAGCTAGTGCGTCTGTAATAATTTCCACTATAAATAGTTTCGATGAAATAAGACGTCTAGCGACGGAACATGATAGCTGCAGCGCGTATGGCTAGACGAATGCCACGAATATAATAATATAAATAATGATCTTATGAATTATGATACAATTTTAGACCCATATTATCAGTTATGTTTCAACAGTCGACAATCAACATTGTGTTATATTTTGTGGCTTGTGAGCTTGTGTTGATTTTTAAAATGTCCCCAAAAAAGTTTCGTGCCAAAAAAAGGCTTGTTGGGAAACGTAAACTTTTAAATAATTTTAAAAAGAAGAAATCGTAAGTAATTTTTATTATTTTCTAATTGGACTTCATTTGGAACATTATTATTATAATTACTAATTTTATAAAATGTACACAATTTGATGTTCTCATCTAAGGTAAAATATTTTGGATTCTATGAATG